TTGCGGAACCCACTGGGTTCGTTGATGAATACGGCCACTGTTTGCTTGTGATAGTTTCTCGACACGATTGATCGTCACTAAGTACCACAACCGAAATGCAGAGTGATTGACATGCAGTGGACTCGTAGCAGTTGTCTTGTCGAGAGATCGCGAGGCGACGAAATCGCTTGAACTATCGTCCAATTTCCAATTCAATGTCTTTCAGCATCTTATCATAAGATAAGTCAACTGCTGTTGAATATCCTTTCTCTAGTTCAGGCATGAATGTGGTTGAAGCGAATACATGCAGAAGAGACCCACTGGAACAGGGCGACTTCTTCGACCACATACTTTCCAAAAGATCTGGAAAACTAGAAAAACGGCGTTCTACTGCAAATGCAATGCATGATACCATAGCATACATGTAAGTAAGTCAGATGATCTTACTTTTAGTCGTCTTCACATCTTTCTTTTTTCATTTATGCATCTTTCTGTTTTTTTGTGTCAGACTAGTGAACCAGCAACTGAAGGTCCTAGATTTGCATCCCGCGCTTCGAGCAGTGTAAAGGTGCTGATTCGCATCTGCGCGCTGGCACCGTCTCGGTTTCTCGCTTTTGGAAGATTTTTGAACTGCGCTTGTTCTTTATATATCAGATAAGTATTTGAAATTGTTGTAAAATGAAACGCTAACCAGCTACGAAGAGTAGGGGTGAGACATGAGCAATCAAAGCCAATTTTCCCGCAATTCTACCTTCTACGCTCTGCTTTACGGAATTGGCGGCTGGATGGCTAGGCTTCCAGTGAAATGGAGAGCACGCTCGTGAGAGAGACGCAGTTCGTGGATGCCAGTGGTTGCCTTTCAGCCGCCAACCCCTTTGAATTGGGGGTGTGTACTATATAAAACTGGCTACTTTCAGGATAAACAGTCGATTCCAGCTAAAACATCTCATAATCGCTGTGATTCATGCCACCTACGTCAAAGTCGGCAAAGCTTATATTGAACACATTCTGGAGCGCACCGGTGGTCTCACTGTTGAACAGATGGAAGAGGTAAAAGTCACATCTTTTTTTCCACTATACCTTTGGGTGCGTATTTGTTACTATGATGTACAAGATTCTGTCCTTTTTTTCTGCAGATTTATGAGGTGTTATGGGCATGGCTTAGCGCTGTTCCACTGCCAGATTCTTCCGATCTGAAACAAATCAGTGACTGGGGCAAGACTTTCCTCCGAAAGTTTATAATTGATCGTCTGACCGAATCGGTGAGGAGTTATGCGTAGTTCTATTTCTATTCGGAGGAAAAAAATTTTTTTAGATTTACGATATGGCAGTTGTGAACTTTCCAAAGTCCTATCCGACGCTGTCCACGTTGAGGAATTGTATGATCAGAGTACTGGAATATGGAAGAGAAAAACTGGTAAACACATTGATAGCTGATGTTGAATCGCAGTTGTTACATATCGGTCAGTCTCATTGGCTTACAGATTTCTGCGAAAATTTGATACTCTTTCAGCTGTGGATACCCCCACTATCCTCAATGGTTATTCATTGTGTGTAGAGTCACTCAGAGAACTTGATCCGTCTTGCGTCATCATGCATAGAGTGTGCAAAGTTATAAAGGAATATCTAAAGTGAGCGTAAGTGGTGATTGAATACTGGGAAAAATATTAAGCTCCTTAGGAAACGCCCCGACACCGTGCGTCAAATCATCAATTACATCACTTCCGAAAAACGAGATGACTTAGCAGCTCACCTGGTCAGTCTATTTCGAACGAATGACCTTATTTCCTATCAAGTTGATGCCATGTAGGCTTTGACAATGTTATCAGATTTACGGTGGTCACGCCGTTGATCCACTTGATCCTCTCAGTCCGCTTCGCTATTGGTCAAATCAGTAAACTGACCAATGCGAAGTGAATAAACTGGGTCAAGTGGACACCCGTTCGCTATTGGTCAGTTCACTGCTTTGATCAGTAGCGAAGTGGATAAAGTGGATCAAGTGGACTAAATTTTGAGTGCGCTTTTGATCAGCATGAAGTCGTATTGTTACTATATGCGGTCAGAAAAGTATAGCACTGTTATGCGTAATACTGAAGTTATTCATTCGAGGCCAATCGTTGCGGTACAATTGTGGATGAGGACGAGTTGACTGGAGCCAACGATGATTTTCTCCCAGAGGCAATGAATCTTTCATTGTGGAGACATTGGATGCCCGATCCCATCGATGCTAGTCCTGGTAAGGTGTCTCCTGCATGCCTGACCTGAGTTTTTTGGTGGAATATCATGGATGGTCTTTGCGGTTCGAAATAAACACACTCATTGTAGGGGAAAGCGGTCGCTTCCGCCAAGCGGCTGATGTTTTCAACATGCTTGTTTCTGTTTATGGCAGCAAGGAAATGTTTGTGAAAGAATATCGTCAACTCCTTGCTGAACGTTTGACCAGTAGTAACACAAAAGATGTAAGTCTTTCTGCTAATGTTGTATTCGAGTTATCCGTATTGCGAATTGAGTTGTGTTGCAGCCTATTTTCGAAAGGCGGTATCTTGATCTGCTCAAACTCCGATTCAATGAAGGTGAACTACAGCAGTGTGAAGTCATGTTGAAGGATATACGAGATAGTCAACGAATTGATAGAACTGCACTTGGAAAGAAGGTAAGTCTTTCTATACAAAATTAGCTGGCCTTTTTGCTTGTTTTTTCAGTGTATACCTGTATCGGCATGCGTCATATCTTCTCACTTCTGGCCAAAAATTGTCTCAGAAACAGTCTCGGTAAGCGCTTGTTGCTATCTCGATAGTTGCATTCTAGATAATCATGTTCAGGAGTTTCCTGCTGCTCTTGAGGAAGCATTGGTAGAGTATGAGAAAGCATTTATGGATCATAAAGAGTCAAGAAAACTACAGTGGATGCGAGCAGTCGGGTGAGTAGTGCTGCCTATCTTTTGTGTCAAGTTAATATATCGTTGCTTTAGATGTGTAGAAGTGACCCTAAAGCTAGGTGACGTGGAAGTGGACAAAGTTGTGCCGAATCCTATAGCAGCGGTACTATATCTGTACCTGGAGAAAGGTTTGTGAAGAACAAATTCTGCTGAGATTCCATAAAAGGCATTCTTTAGACCCACACTGAGCCCGTTTTTTTTGAACACTGCTCTTAATCTGATTCACATTCTTTAAAAATCTGTGAATTTTTACCCAGTCGTTTTAGAGAGTTGGACGGTGGCTGAGGTTGCAGAAAGGTTAACCATCTCGAAGGGAGTTGCACGTCGTCGGTTGGAGTGGTGGCGAACGCAGGGACTTCTCATGCAGGTACTTTCTCCATTTTATCAAACAGGGTGGGATCAAAATCCATTTCAGAGCCTTCCTACCGGAGCTACAGCCGAAGAGTGGTCTTTAGTAAGTAATCCGA